ATTGGGGATCTCACCCTAAACGATTAAAGATCAAACACGACTCAACTTTTGAGCTGTTGCTGAACCGAAGAGAACTCACTAAACTCGCACAAACTCGCGCAAACTCTCGCGTTCTCCCATTACTATGAGACGCAAATAAACAAACATGAAGCTGCTGCTGCTGCTGCTGTTTTCTCTGCCATTTGTGCTGACATAGTAAAGAAGCAGCAGGTAAACGAAATAGTGAAATAATGGATTTAAACATGTGATCGGTGTGATATGTTTTGGAGTATTAAATGTACATAACTCAATTGTGCCCATGACTTTTTGCCATTTTTCTTTGTTTACTTGCTGTATTTTCTTCTTTTGCACTGTCAGTTTTCATTGGCTGTTGCAGGAATCCATTTAGATTGAGTTGTTGACCAGTTTCCACTAGATTTGATTACGAACAAATCAAACATGTTTGATAAACTCTGGGCTGAAACGCGATCAGGAGGCCAGAAAACTGAGGCAGCGCCGCTCACACACTACTCGATTCTCTCTCCAACTGTCGACTCTGTCTGACTGACCCAAAAATTTCAGCTGGACTGAGAATCAGGGCTGAAATCGGGGTGAAAGTCGTGTAGTGTAACCCCGGCTTTAGTGGTCGTAGCTTTTCTTACTGCTTTATTTGTATGGAATCCAACAGAAGCTTTCGGATGATATAATTCTTACAATTTCTTAGTGAGAACTGGTTGTCAAATCCAGTTTGCCTATGAGAGCATGGGCAGAATGTTTGTTTGCCAGGAGGAAGCTCTCGAGTGAGCGCAGCTCTTACACATGCACACACATTCATACATATATTAATAGGGTACATGCAGGCATATATGCATGCATGCTCTGTGAACTCTTAAGAAGCAATAGACTATTTGATGTCATGTCTCAGGTGGTGCAATATCATTGTTGGGTTTTAATGCCTGTAGATGTTTTTCTCCTCTACCTGTGACCTTAATTGTCGCTGATCCATTCAAATCCAGTTCATTTGAGTTCAGTGGGCTTTATTGGCATGAATGCTTCAATGGTGCAATTTCAACATATTTCAACATTAATTTAAACAAGTGGTCAGGACCCCCACAGGACCACCACAGAGCTGGTATTATTTGGGTGGTGCGTATTTCTCAGCATTGACACTGATGGTGTGTTAGTGTGTGTTGTGCTGGTATGAGTGGACTGAGTATGAGTGACTTTACATTTACAAGGTGGACCAACAAGGTAGGAGTGTCTAATAGAGTGGACAGTGAGTGGACACAGTGTTTAAAAACTCCAGCAGCACTGCTGTGTCTGATCCACTCACACCAGCGCAACACACACTAACGCACCACCACCACGTCAGTGTCACTGCAGTGCTGAGAATGATCCACCACCCAAATAGTACCTGCTCTGTGAGGGTCCTGTGGGGGTCCTGACCACTGAAGTACAGGGTAATAAAGTATGCAGAGAAACAGATGGACTACAGTCTGAAACTGTAGAATTATAAAGTGCTACTATATGGTCAGTATAGCTGATACAATGGACAAATAGTCTTAGATACAAGGAGGTACTTAATAAACTGGTCAGTTGGTGAATATGCATATGAGCTATTTTTGTGTTTACACTGGACCATTTCAAATATGGTCTATGCAAAAGTTATGGCACAGTGTATATTTTTATGTTTCATTGTTTTCCAAAATGTAAAACTCAGCAAAGAAATAGAAATTGTGCATTAAAATTTGTGGAAAATGTGATGTTTAAGTTTGCTCACTGTAGATGATATGTTAATTTCACTTAGGAAATCATCCAAAAATGTTGCTTAATTGAGGTGTTCAAACTTTTGCATATGACTCGATACACACTATTATATATTCGAGGTGTAACAAACCACAACATTCATTATTTTACTTGGTGTCAATTCGACACATGATGTGCCTTATAGTTAATATGTTTCCATTTTGAGTTTATTGTATCATTTCTGTGCTTTAATTTTTAATTTTTTTTTATGTTTAATTGTGCAAAGCTAAGCTAATATGTTAGCTGCAAGCTAACAAGCTAGTCACAATACATTACGATATGATAGGACAATTGTTACATTTTATATATATATATATATATATGTATATATTTATATATATATATATATATATATATATATATATATATATATATATAAGGTGTATGTATATACAGAGTATACACTCTAGTCACAAGCTGATATGTTAGCCCTGAGCTAATATATTAGCCGCAAGCTAACAGACTTGTCACGATACAACACAATGATGTGATATGACAATATGATACAACAATTGTTACATCATTACTATTTTTTTTACTTTACTGTCAAAATTTAATGATTGATGAACAAATAAAAATTGTCCAAAAACTACTTAATAAAACATTTTTACATCGACTTACATTTAAAGTTAAGAACATTATTTTCCTGTAACAGCAACAATACTTATTAAATATATGTAGTATAAGATGTACAGATACACAACATACACTAAATATATGTTGAACAAACCATGTCAGTTAACGTTTTGTTGGTTGCTTGCAAATTGTACTTAATAGTAAATTCGCACTTATACCAGTGCATATACACCAACAAATAAACAAATAAACACTGTGAGCTCATCCCTCCTGAGGCCAGAATCACCTGACGCTCAGCATGCACTTCAACCAGCAGAAGCACCCAGCAAATGTAAGCACTCATCGGGAAGTGGCGAATCCAGGCACGTCCGGCCACAGTGGCTAGATTGAAATGGGCAGGTGTGGACATATGGCGCCTTGACCAGATTGTGAACCAATCACTGAGAGCTGACCACAGAATACAAATGCCATTGCAAGGTGTGGACAGAGCAGTGCTCTGCAAATGTGTGCCTTTTGGTGCATGCAACTTATGCTCATCATGCACATTGAATATATTCAAAAACAAACGTATAATAATTACAATTTTATAATATTGACAAATATTCAGTCATTGTTTTAAATAATTATGGGACTCAAATTGGATTTTCCTTGACTAGGTAGCACATTAATTTACATACAGCATTCCTGACAAAGAAGGGTAGAGTAACCTAAACCCATACACTAATAAAATACTGTTACTTCATTAAAATGATGAGTAAATGTAACATAGCAAAAACAAATACTCTGCTATACACAAACCAGCCAAAACTGGAATGAGAGAAATTAAGACAGAGGGAAATAACAAAAACCTGGCAAACCAGCAAACTGTCCCCATCAGATAAACAGCACTTAAAGCGTCCATCTTTGAGAGAGAGGAGAAAATCAAACTGCTTCAGATCTGAAAACATCCACAGGTGTTTCTGTCCATCCTTCCACTGTGAGAAGACGACTCAGCGCTATGGGTCTGAAAGGATGTGTAGCTGTCAAGAAGAACCTCACTGAGAAAAAGAGACACAAACATCAAACAAAGAAGCTGAACAATGGACTGACCACCCCAGAGTCCAGACCTCAACATCACTGAATGTGTTTGATTACTTCAGAAAATGATCAACCAGCTTCTAAGACTGAACTTTGGAGGTGTGTCTGCAGATTTCTTTGAGAAACTGAAAGTGAGTCTCCTGAAAAGAATGGAAGCTGGAATGAAGGTGAAGAGTGACACACTGACACTCAAACAGCTGATATTAGATTTAGTTGTTGAGGCTTCTTTGAAATTTTCTGTTAAATAAGTTTTCTGGTTTTTTTTTCCTGAAAAATGAATAACTTGGAGTTAATTTACACGGGATTGTAAATGAAATGTGACCTTTCCACAGTACTGTATTCATTGGAGGTGCTGTATGAAGGTGGTGGTATCAGTGATCTCTCGGAGATTACATGGCTTTTGCTGCCCAGGTCCAGTGATAGTGGATCATGATAAAGCACATGGAACATTCTCCATTTCCTTTACTTCACACCTGCTGACCGAGCTCTGCTGTGGAGACCAGCTGTGCACACAAAACACACAATGCTACAGTATCCAGCCTTAGACTGAAAACACACACACTTACCTCTCTCACTGTCTCACACACACACACACGTTTGTTTCTGTGGATTGTGGGGACATTACATAGACTCCCATTCATTTCCTGGAGACTTACCCAAACCTTAACCTAACCCTAAATCTAACCCTAAACCTAAAAATTTGTTTTCACCATTAAACATGTCTTCACCTTAAAATGTAATGATTTACATTTGTGGTCCCCACAAGGAAGAAAGGTCCCCACAACATGAGTGTATAAACAGGTTTTGGTCCCTATAACACACACACACACACACACACACACACACACACACACACACACACACACTGTAAAGAAGAGGCGTGTAAGCATCAACATTAAGTAAATATTAAGCCATTGTTTAACCTCAACAATTACTGTATCCATTTTTTTCCAGTGGAAAAACAAATATTCAGCATAGCTGATCACCTCAGAGTCTCCCTTTATTTACTCGTTGTTACTATATGTGCATTTCTGACGGGAGAATTTATATAAAGTTTTGGCACCCCAGGTTAAATTGCACGTTTTGTTGATTTTCTCAGTGAAAACACATCCTCTACAGCAAACACACTTAATCATGGCATTTCTCTGCTAATTTGCTATTGATTTGCTCTGCTATTTCTCTAAAATGTGCAGAAGCGTGTTCTCTAAAGAGGATGTGTTAGCTTAATGCACACTTAGAAAATCAACAACATGTCATTTGACCAGGTGTGCCCAAATGTTTGCATACAACTGTATATAATATATTTTGGATATAAGGCAATACATTTGGACACTTCTTTTGGTTCATTCATCATGGCATTTTCACACAATGTAAAGGACAGCATATTCAGTTGATGCAGAAAAATAAAAATTGACAAAAATAGAGGTGTGTTACTTTTACCCCTCTCTATACATACAATGGAAAATGAACTCAAATAGATGCTTTTTCTAAAATTAGTATAAAAACAACAACGCAGTCACTTATATTTGCCAAGCATTGGTTTTAATGGTTCAGAACATTGACATTAGTTTAACCAGCTGAATGTAAGGTGTACATCGCTTTTACAGTGTTGCATGCAGAACGTTTTTTGTTAAGCTGACCAAGTCGGAGGTTTCACAGGCTGCATTTCAATCAAAATTACACCACATTCATGAACTTTCAGCAAGAGCTGAAATAGAATCTAACTGTATGTCTTGTCTTCATTTACCAAAAAACCCAAAGCAAAGCTGTATACAGTATCACTTCACTTGCAATCCCAAAGCCTGTGCGGTTGCAGGCTTCTTCCTATACTGTTGTAGGATTGGAAGAATCTTTTCAAATGCTGCATGGACGCTCGGCATCTCTGAAGCTAAAAATACAGATATTTCACTTTTTAAGTATTTTAACATCATACAGTGAGAATATAAATGCATTTATTATTATTGCATTCTGATATTTATTAAAAGATGTATGTATGTCTTTTATAGTCAGTTTATGCTGTTAATCTGTGAAAATATTTAAAAATATTACACAGTAAGGCTCACCTTTGATAAAAACTTTTCCTGAGGCATAGATCTTGAGTGTGCTTTTGGGACTCATCTCGTAGACTAAGCCAGGAAATAGCTCAGGCTCATAACTGCAACAAAAAATGAAGAAAATGAAGAAAAATCAGTAAATGTCGTGGATAGACTGTAGAGTTGACATCTGATTTTTTTGCATTTGAACGAATAACGAGTTATTTATGGTCTTGTTACATTAGCATCATTCGAAATTTGAACTCTTCTTAAGGCAACATGCCACGTCAAACGAGAATGTCTCATAAACGTTTTAAAAAAGTATGTGAGAGTCAATGATAAGGATAAAGGCAAACCGGAAGAAGCAGGGATGTCTAAGTTGAAGGAGTTCCAAACGAACTGGGAAGTTGACATCATACTCTCTGCAAAAGAAGGTTTCACACTGCCAAAATCTGGCTGGAAATCTCAGTTTCTGTAGAATTCTGATGAATTTTCCAGCTGCCAGGCGGGACTGGTCCACGCTATAAAAATGGGAAAACACAGGGGCAAACGCTTTATTGATGTGTTGAATAATGAAGAGTACAGAACTAGTTGGACTTTGTATTTACAAAGCCTCCCAGTAATATTTCTGAGGAATACATTGCTGTTCAAAAGTGTGGAATCTCTTGTTAAATCGATCATTTATTGTCACTGTCAGGACAAAACCTTGTCTTTCCTTTTTTGTTGTTTTGCATTTTTTTGACATAATATATAATCAGTAGCTGCTTTATCAGTAGCAACCTTAACCTCAACCCAGAACCTAATCCTAACCATCACCCTTACCCTGGCCTTAATCCTAACCCTAACCTTAACCTCAACCCAGAACCTAATCCTAACCATCACCCTCACCCTGGTCTTAATCCTAACCCTAACCTTAACCTCAACCCAGAACCTAATCCTAACCATCACCCTGGCCTTAATCCTAACCCTAACCTTAACCTCAACCCAGAACCTAATCCTAACCATCACCCTCACCCTGGCCCTAAACCTAACCCTAACCTCAACCTCAACCCAAAACCTAATCCTAACCATCACCCTGGCCCTAATCCTAACACTAACCTTAACCTCATCCCAAAACCCAATCCTAACCATCACCCTCACCCTGGCCTTAATCCTAACCCTAACTTTAACCATAACCCAGAACCTAATCCTAACCATCACCCTCACCCTGGCCTTAATCCTAACCCTAACCTTAACCTCAAGCCAGAACCTAATCCTAACCATCACCCTGGCCTTAATCCTAACCCTAACCTTAACCTCAACCCAGAACGTAATCCTAACCATCACCCTCACCCTGGCCTTAATCCTAACCCTAACCTTAACTTCAAGCCAGAACCTAATCCTAACCATCACCCTCACCCTGGCCTTAATCCTAACCCTAACCTTAACCTCAACCCAGAACCTAATCCTAACCATCACCCTGGCCTTAATCCTAACCCTAACCTTAACCTCAACCCAGAACGTAATCCTAACCATCACCCTCACCCTGGCCTTAATCTTAACCCTAACCTTAACCTCAACCCAGAACCTGATTCTAACCCTCATATGTTTTGACATGTTACTGTGAGTCTGTTGAGTGTTTGTTTCATCTAAAAGGACCACTCAGAATGAAGTGTCACCGTCCTCATGGAAAAATGAATGTGTTAACTGTTGTTTGTACGTGTTTAGCGTATACTCACCTTTCAGCTCCTACGCACCAGAATTCTCCTGATTTCGAAATCAAGGCAAATGTTCTGGGCTCTCGTAGATTCATTACAGCCAAAGGGAGCATCTGAAAACAATCACAACAGAAATCATGCACATAATGTTGATGCATGTTGAAATGTATTATATTTGTGTCAGATCAGCCCCTACTCATGAAATAAAATGACCTCACATTTAAAGTCTTTTGGCTTTAATTGCAATGTGTATATGACCAAAATGAACTGGTGCGTTGAATATTTTTAAAAATCTTACTCTGGGATTGTACTTGGCATTTTTGGCCTTCTGTGCTATTGTCACCAGATCAAGTTGGCATCGAACGTTCACCTTTGACACAATGCTGTAAAGTAAGCAATACACAGATGTGTGGTAATCAGCTATTGATCACCTTCACACACAACACATCAGAAAATACTGTATATTTAATATAAACAAAATTTGACTCAAATAAATAAACATGGCATATTAAATACCTTTGTTAACCAGACAATTAACTACCTTTAGTTAATATCACCAGTATAACAGAAAATGCTGTTTAAGTGATTGAGAAAAAAATTGCCATTACAAGTAATTAACAAAAAATTGTGTAGCACATATTAAAATTATAATTCAAAACTATATATATTTACGTTTTTAAAGTGATCTCTCTGCTGTTATTATTAAACTGTTTACAAGTTTGGTCAGTCTGGGGGGGGCACCTAGGCAGATGGAGGGCCCCCAAAAAATCCTGCTTAGGGCCTCTAAAAGGCTAGAGCCAGCCCTGCACAAAACAGTGCTGCACAACAATATCTTTTTTTTTTTTTTTTAACAAACACAAATCATAAAATATGAGCAACAATGAATAGATAATTAATATTAATTATAACATGTTTGTGTCTAGTGATAACAGTGACATCTACGGTTTAAACAACTGTCCAGGTAAACAGGCATAGCCTACGACCTAAAACTATTCTGTTGTCTGTTCTAAGTCACGACTATCAGCAGTGAAGACAGATGAACTCACATTGTCTGTGGGCTGATGCTGGAGTTCTCTGAAGTATTTGCATCAGGAGAGGCAGGAGAGGGAGGGGGGGTGTTGAGGAGCAAGTTGTCCAGTACTGCCATGGTCACCTCTTCTGAGATGATGGGCAAACCCTCCTGCTGCAAGCCCTGTTAGGAAGACATTTTAAAACTTCGGTGAATTCTTTTCTATACAAGCACTAACATAACTTTAAATAGCCGATTTTTCAAAATGTCTGCATAAATCAATCGCCGAGATGTAAAGAAAGTCATTCAGAGTGGTTTGGTGTGAAATGGTTCACTGTAGAGAAACTTAATGACTCAGATTTCTTAACAGTGGTGGTGATGGGAACCAGGGGACACCATGTCTACAATATAGACATTATCATGTAAATGATAAAATAGTGGATTTACTAAATGAAAACAATTTCTATTTATTTGCTAAATGTAACTTATTGAAAACAAATAAAACATAACATAAAATGTGCCACACCTTATTATTTATTTCCCTCCCAATATGTTCAATTCAGCAAATAAACAGTAATTGTGCAGTAAAATATGCAGAAGTGTGTTCTCTGTAGAGGATGTGTTCACTTATTGTCACCTAGGAAATCAACAAAAGCATGGAGGGGCACCCAGATATTTGTATACAGCTGTATTTTAACAAAATACACTTGTTAAAGTTGTTAAAACTCTTGTAAATTTCTCAGGCATCTAGCAGTGTATTCATAACCATTTCATTTAGGGTTGGACGTCTGGTTCCTATCACCACAACTGTGAACAATTCTGACTCTGTAAGTTTCTCTATAACAGAGCATTTCATACCAAACCACTCTGAATGACTCTGTTTACATCTCAACCCTTAATCATGCAGTATTTCTTTAAATGATGGAATTTTCCTTTAAACACACTAGTTCTTTAAAACATGTCAAGCATGTGTGCAGTAAAAAGGAAAATCACTGTAAGCATCTCCTCAGACTCCCCTAGTCCACTGGTGGTATCATTCAAATAGACTATTAAATAGACTGTTGTCTGATTCCAGGAAAATATATAATTTATAGAACCTGCAAAAGGTAATTGCAAAAAAAAAGTATATAGGTATTGTAGAACTATAATTAAAACAATTAAAACATTAACATTGAATATTGCATGAAATTCAAAATAGCTACATATGTCCACACTTTAGATCAGCATGTGACATTAAAATGATAAAAAACAATGAATTCATTTTGCATAGATAGTAAGTGCTTTAGAGAAGAAACATAGCCTTATATCATACTACTGAACACCTACTTAACAAGATGGCACCATAATATTTATTGAATTACATTATAATAACGCTGACATGCTGTACTTGTTCAAGAGTGAAGTTATAGTCTTTTAGGACTCAATATTATAAGACACTGACAACAAGAGCAGCTTCATTTACTCATGTTGAATGATAACATTTACAACGTTACTTACAAGAGATGTCAAGGCTTCATGGAGCACAGCACGGTTGATCCTTTCCATCTTCATAAAGGGATACAGCTAATTCTGAATAAAATTTGTCTAAAAAAATCACGTCACAGAAAGAGAGAGAGAAAGAGAACTAGAGATAAAATAGGCTGATTAAATTGCTGCATGTATGGTTTCACATGTGAGTGCTTTCCAAGAAAACTTTGGATTTTTATAATTTATTTGAAAAGGTCTAAAAGCACCTTAGTGTACTCATTGCAAGAAAATAATAATTTCAGCTAACACAGGCATTTTTTTAGTACCTGATTTGACGATTTGAGGTCAAAAGGTGTCCTCAGGTGTGAAAATAACATTTTCTTCAGGTTAATGACTTACTTTGATTAATACTACTGATTAATACAAAAAAGCTTTTTTAAAAACCTTTGAGGCCTATAACAAGCTACAATGAATGTGCCAGCAATGTACCAGATAGCTGCTAACCCGACACGGTTAGCAGCTAGCTTCTACCTAGCTGGTTAACAAAACTACAGTACACAAATAAAACACAATATTGCTAATATTGATATTAAACAAACTCTGTTGGCACAATGAGTAAATATCAAGTAAATTTTAAGTAGCTAAAAACTGTTTAAAAAGAGTTCCAACAAGCTCACCCGTCGAACTTCACCGTAACGTTTGGTCGGCAAAAAAGCTGCGCTTTCGCGCCAAAAGCATGCTTTGTACTCCTCCTCCCGGAAGCATTCTTGGTTAAGAGACAGGCCCTCATTAAAATAACCAATGGGAAAGCAGCAGTAAATCAATAAAAAAGATCAAATAAATAAATAAATATATTATTTTGAATGAATTACATCAAATTCAAGATGTCATTTTATGTGTTTATAAATGGGACAATGCTATTTGACAAAATTTGCTTTAGTCAAATCTCACGTCGAAGAAAATGACAAATATAAAAATAATTGCCAATGATAATAATAATAATAATAATAATAATAATAATAATAATGGAAAAAAGAGAGTTTGCATATATGAGTACAGAGTTTTGGTAATATCAGTCTGTAGGCATTTTGTCTTTAGAGACGCTTCAATGTTAAGGAAATAGACAATAGCTTACATAAAGATATACTTGTCTGAGTTCATCTCCAGTCCTTTTCTCCTCCTGCTCCTACCCTGAGTATTTAACAGGAAATCTTCATTTTTCTGAGTCCAGAATGAATCATCAGTAAGAAAGTCCGGTTCTGTCTTCATCAGGATGAGCAGTGTTGTTAATAGATCTCCAAAAGGCATCTTTTCAGACCGAAGCATCTTCGTATAATTTCCATTTCTGTACTGTAGTCCCTTTAACATCTTTCCTCTTATCCAGAAGCACATACGTTTACCAGTGTTCACCTTGAGTCCAAGAATAAACTGGTGCTGTCCTTGCTTTTATTTTCGGTTCCAGTAAAACTAGTTAAATTACATTCCAAGCAGGATAATTCATAACTCTGATGGGAGGTGTTACCAGTTCCTCAAGTTATGTCCTCAAGTTATCAACCATGATATAATCTTACAGCACCACTCTCTAATTGAAAACACAAAACAATTTTACAAAACAGTTCTTGGTGAATTTATCACTTATAATGAAACAGAATTCTGTAACTGATGATGCTTCAAAACAGGTGGTCCAGGTTTACAATATTGAGAAGATTGGCCACTTTCTTATCTCACTTGTTCAAGTTCAATTTGTCGGAGGCTAAGGAGTTCAGCATTTGTTATACTTTCTTCTTGCAAGGGCTTCAACTTTGAAAGGCGCTTCACAGAGCCCAGAGCCATGTAGAGAGATAACTGCGTCATTTCTTTCAGCAATGGCGGACTGTGGAGCCTTTCGATAGCAGCAAATACTAGCAGCCCAGCCAAGTTGCAGCAGAATAGACAGATTATGATGCACTTTTAAAGGGCAAGACATTTAAAGAATAAGTTTGTAAATAATCAGCACATCTGAATTAAATTAACATGTATAATAAAGCATGTTAGTGGATTATCCCCAACTAAATTAGTAGATTTAGGGAACAGATTACAGATTAGGCTGACATACTGAGTAAAGTTAGCAACACATAACATTAACCATAAACAGCCCCTTAATGTTAAATTCCCTGCTCTTAGTGTCATTTCATCGACCATTGTTGAATTCGAGAAAAAGGCTTCTAAACGTGCCAGAGTGATGGGGTGAGAGTTAAATATTAGTTAAATATAATATTGGGGCATGAGCTTGTAGAGTGGTGGCGGAGGAGGTAAACTGAGGATAATGTTATCTATTAGGAGTACGAGCTTACATATACAATAAAAAGAAAGCTATTTTCATGATATGTCACCAATGATATGGATTTAGAGTGGATATGGGAGATTTCAAAGAGTAAACAAATATAACACTTGGATTGGGTGTTTGCAGGCTTTGTGATTCTGTTGACGGTTATCTGTCCATATTATGTTGCAGTGTAGTCGCTTTTGGATTGATGGCAAGAACCACGGGGGGATTCAACTCAGCCTAAAGACTCCCTACAATAAGACAGTACCCACACCCTGCTCCCTGAGTCTCAACACGCTGGGTTTGAAATTCTTTACCTGTTCCTAATCTTTAATAAACAAAACATTAAGCTTCCCAATGGTGTGGCCATTGTAAATGCTATGTGACATTTAATCTTTAGTGATGGTAAGTAATTTAGTAATTGCTCCTGCTGACTTGAGCCAACAATTCTTTTCTCCTCTCTGTGTCAGTGGGGAAACCGTACATTCTTACTCCTTTCTCCAAGTGACTGAAGCATCTCCATGCAGCACAACAAACCATGCTGGGGACTATATGCAAGGACAACTTGGAGAAAGGGGCACAGACAAACTGCTTACCATGCTATTCATGTTTGAGTTTGTTATAGCTTTATTTCATGAATTCATTGTAGTAAAGAAGTGCATAGTAAAAAGACACAATACATAAAATATGTTTATATGTGCACAAACAAATATAAATAGATGTGTTTAAATATGTCCTGTCCTGTCTGGATGTGATGTGTTTTAATGTACTCTTCAGATTTTTGCACGTGCAAGCCAAACAGATATTTATTTGGCTCCTTCTTCTTCTGTCCTTTCTGAAAGTCATAAAGTTTACATTACTCATCAAGTCATTAAGATTGTCTAGGCCCTGGGATTCCTGAAGCCACCTTCAATTAAAGATATGGTAATGTTAGAAAATTAATCTGATCTCAATTTTCAAACATTCCTTCCCTTCCCCTCCCTCTAAATATATCAATAAACATTAGATATGACTGATATTAACTACCATACCTGTTTAAGAACATAATATCTCTAATACTAAAATTCAGAGCAATAAACAACCACAGTACACTTGGTAACCATGGTAACGTTAAGGTTAACCTAACACGTCTAACATGCAAGTGAACGTAGCTGTTTAATCCTCAAATAGTATGAAATTTTACTTTAAAAAATAATATTGAAGTAACTACATACATATGTTGGTGTGCTATATAAATATTGTAAATCAATGCATTTATTCACTGCTAATTACAAAAAGATTGGTTCTGTCTCTATGTGTTTACAGGTTTGAATTGCCCACCAAGAACTTCATGGAACTATCTGAAGTCTATGTGAATCACATGACCATCTAGCATTTTGACAGACAGAGTCAAAATGCTGGATGGTCGTTGACGCGACTCTCTGTCTACATGGCTCTGACAGAGCCTAGCGGCAAGACAGAGGGAGCCTAGTCTGCTAACAGCAGAGACCTTGTAGAGAGGAGAATTACCACTCTGTAATGTCTTCTGGGTTTCCCAAACACTAGAGGGCGCTCCCGAGTGAGTCCAAAATGAAAGGGTTAAGATGGAGCATTTGAGCAAAATCATAGTTTATAAACACTTAAACCTCATTAATATAAAAGAATACATTCATTTCCTGAACACTGAGCAGCAGAAAAACATTTTAATACTGCTGTTATATTTTAAAGAGGTTTTTTACTCATAGGAGTCATAGGAGTTTGAAACAGCGCCTCGTGCATTCTTGACGTCAGTGAGCACGTACAGCCAAGGAACTGCTCCACTCGGTAACCAATCAGCACTCAGTATCAGTAATGCCAACCAATCAGCACTGAGTAGCAGCAATGTTAGCGTCCTGCTGACCCCAAAAAAAGAACACACAGGTAACACAGGTAAGCTTTCTTTGCTTTTTTAATGAAATACATGCTTCTACTTTCTAAAATTAAAGGAAAGTTCCGGGTAAGTGATTAGAAACTATTTTAACTTTTTGTTTTTAGCCATTTAGCTCCATTTACTCCCATTCAGCACTCGCTCGCACGCACTCTCTGGCGTGTTGCAGTCATGTTTTTGATATAATGGGGGAAATAGGAAGAGGCCAGGCTCCTCATAAACCAGCTCTGCTAACAGGGAATGAACCAGAGTTCTTTGGAGAAACCCTCACACTATCATACTTTCAGTGTTAAGCTGAGCCAGCTTGCAAACCATTCCCCACAGAAGTTTAGCCTAAGCAGCATATTCAGATAAAATTCCTCCCCAGGATTTTGTTCCAACTGGTTTGTGAAAACTAGAGAAGCCAGGCAGTTGGAACAATATCCTGGGATGGATTTTTACATTCTAGACCAAAATATGCTGCTTACACTAAATATTTTTATGCTCGTCTCTGTAACGTTATGTTTATCTTGTAAGCTCAATTTCTCAGCACTTAATATTATTGCTTCTAAATATAAAATACTGTAAAAGCTCATCTCATGTAACATTTTTCCTATCCAGAATGACTTACAAAAGTGCTTTGTTGACCACTTAGAGAATGTATCCTAGTTAATACAAACTCAAAGTACCCTTGAGTTAAGACACTGCCAGAAACAAATGCCAGTGCTGATACCAAGAAAGAAAGATTTTAAAAAATAGGATTAAGACCCAGTGCAACACAATACATTTTGATAAGTGTTAGATTAGTGTTAACTTAAGTGCTTCACAAAGACATTTACATTTACACCATTTGGCAGATGCTTTCATCAAGAGCGACTTACAATTTGATCTTTAAAAAAAAACAAAAAAAAACAACCACATTATATAAATCACATGGTATTGCTGAGTAACGTTGCTTTCATACAAATTCTCAAAACATTATTTTCTGGTAGTATCACAGCCTGTAATGTGTAAATGATAAAACTCACATTTTAGGTTATTTTATTCTGTGCTGACCACATGATGACATATAACTGTAAAAATACTAGTAAAGAGTGAGTCAAACTGAATGTACATAATGGAAAGAAGCAGCACATTCCACTCTAACAGAGAGATAAATCTTTCTGTACAGTGTAAATAGTCTTCTGAGAAAGTTGTAATGGACGTCGAGCAGAGAGAGCACTGGTGCAGTGTGGGACGTCCCTCTGAGTGACAGTCTGCTGGAGGGATGCTATATATATATATATATATATATATATATATATATATATATATATATATATATACCCGTCTCTCACACCCTTCCCTTCTCAGTCATTCATAGAGCGCTGTTGCACCTCTGATGTGATCTTTGTTTTGTCTTTTATACTGTTGGTTTTCCTTCCGCCTCCTTTGCCACTCCCTAGCCTTTAGCTTTAGCTTTTAGGCATTAGCCACTGCCTATAGCTTTTGCTTTAGCCTTCAGATTTAACATTTAGCCATTAGCCTTTGAATATAACTTTTGCCCTAGCCTTCAGCTTTAGCCTTTGGACATTAGCCTTTGAAAATAGCTTGCCCTATCCTTTAGCTTTAGCTTTTAGCCATTAGTCATTGCCTATAGCTGTTGCCCTAGCCATTAGCTTTTAGCTTAGCTGTTAGTCTTTAGCCTTGCATTGTCCTTTAACTGTGCTTCCTTGTTCAGTATACCCGCTATTTTAATCTAGCTATTTAATCACTTGATCCATATGTTTTTCCTAGAGCATTCTGTCATCGTATTATGCTAGATATGATGTGAACCAGTTAAGTGCAGGACCCTGGATGTCAACCCAATGCTCAAGTATATTATGGTTCAAAGTGGCGCAGAGGCAGAAGTGAATTAAAATGCTAGAATTAACAGCACGAAATAATCATTGGTCAGGGCCGGACCACTGCACATTTAAAGCTTGCAGGAAGTGGCCAGACTGGCACTGACAATGGTCAAAATAGTGGGTCCCATTGTCTTAAATGGGATAACAAGAATGGGAGAATAGTGGGCTTCATGAGTGACACTGTCTGTACTAAGGAGGGGAGAGAGGCTCGACCTGGTTTAACACAGTCATGCAAGTTGGATAGTGACTAGAAGATGGTGTGATGTGGGAAGTCCTGGCTAAATTATATATTTTTTTTTAATTTTTACAAGTGTCTGTGGACAGATCAGGGCTAAGCCTGGGTAGATTAAGCATAGAATTAATGGTACTGATCTATGACAATTTTTTAAAATAGTGCCTGAGAAATATTGTGCCCTGGTAGGAGAGGAAGACCAGTTCTTCTATGCTCTGCAAAGCAGAAGCAGCTGTAATTGAAATCATACTTTGAGTATGCATTCGAAAAAGTCAGGATTTATGAAGCATAAATGGAGCTGACTTGACCATAGGCTTAGATGGACAGCACACATGGATATTAAAATTACCCCAAATTAAAATTATGTCAGATAAGGGCAAAATAAAATATTAAAATCAGAGACTTTATCACTAAAATCTTTATTTGCTTTAGGTGGTCTGTAAAGCAGAGGATTTGAAACTCCAATTTTAATAACCTAAACTTCAAAGCTCACATACTTGTTGACAGAAAGTGCACAGCATTTTAAGACCTTAAAATCTCAGGCTTATTACATACTAAGGCTTATTATTCAGCGACTACAGGGACTTCAATGCAAACTCATTATGTTATTCTTAGGTTATAGAAGCGTGTAATAAAGCTTTGGTCCCGCCATTGGGCCCTGGCCTTTTAAGAGGGCTCATTCAACTGAAAAAGTTACAGAGAAAAGGAGAGAAAGTTCTAAAAAGTGGCTTGACTCACCGACACTGAGCCATGTTTGAGTCCAATCTAGTGTTATAAAAAAGTCATTTAGTATAAAAGTTTTATTTGAGAGTGATCTTATATTGACCAGGGCCATCTTCACAGAAGGAAAAAGCAGTGTCCAGAGGGGAAGAGTGTTCCAGTGTTCAGAGATTGCCGTGGTCCACTCCTCCGCTGAAGGTGCAAGGTCTTGTCGGGAAACAGCAGGGGCACACCGGTGCCTGGTCCAGCAAAACAGACTGCAGTGAGGCTAGCTCAGCTCTACCGAGTGCT